ACCCTCGATGACATCCAAGATGAGGAATAAGCAAGCGCCGGCCGAGGAGGGAGGACGCAGCTACCCGAGCGTGGGAGAGCCTGGAGCGGGGTAGCCCGGACCTTCCCATTTGGGATTCCCATTTGGGATGCACGGAGGCAGTGGCAGGGAGGGGAGAGAACCCTCGGGGAGGGGACAGAGCCCTTGGGGAGGGGACAGAGCTCTTGGACCCCACAGCAAGGAGGGTGCCCCTCAAATGCTCCAGCTTGGAGCATCTCCCGGAGGGATGGTGCAGGCAGGATCCAGGCCACGAGCTCCCAAGCTGGAATATCCCTCCTAAAGCAAGCCTTTGGTCCCGGGCTCAGCCCAGAGCTGCCGAGAGGGCTGTGGCCAGGCCGTGGGCCAGGTGGGTTCCACACTGACTGGATGCCCCAGTGTCCTGCGTGGGGGTGTCCACGGATCCGGGTATCCCGTGGCAGGGAGGCGGGTGGGAGTGGGAGGAGATCGTGGCAATGGTGGTCCTGGCCTGCAGCTCTGTTTCCTGGGTGTCACAGGTGGGTCCACAGCTTGGACCTGTGTTTGTCCCTGTGGGTGCAGCAGGGGAAGGGGCCGTGGGTCGCTGCAGAACCGTGGTTGGAAGTTCATAGAATCATGGAATGGTTTGGGTTGGAAGAGACCTTAAAGACCACCTCGTTCCAACCTTCCACTATCACAGGGACACCTTCCACTATCCCAGGTTGCTCCAAGCCCCGTCCAACCTGGCCTTGGACACTTCCAGGGATGGGGCAGCCACAGCTTCTCTGGGCAACCTGTGCCAGGGCCTCCCCACCCTCCCAGGGAAGAATTTCTTCCCAATCCAATCTAAAACTACTCCCTTTCAGTTCGAAGCCATTCCCCCTTGTCCTGTCACTCCAGGCCCTTGTAGTCCCTCTCCATCTTCCTTGTCGGCTCCCTTCAGGTACTGGAAGGCCACATTTAGATCACCCCGAAGCCTTCTCCAGGCTGAACAATCCCAATTCTCCCAGTCTTTCCACATAGCAGAGGTGCTCCATCCTGCTCTGATCAACTTGGTGGCCTCCTCTGGACTCGCTCCAACGGACCGAGTTCACACGCCCCGATCCGTGATCACTCCTAAACCCCACCGTTATTATTAACGAACGCACACGCACAAATACACGTACAAACATACGCTCAAACATTCAAACATTAAATCCCGCGCCGGGTACGTGGGTGGGGGGTGACCCCCCTCCGCCGCCGCCGCCGCCACGCGTGGGTCGCGCCCCGCGCCCCTTCCATCACCCCCCACGCCACCCCCACGCCCCCGTGCCCGCCCCGGTGGGCGGGTGGGGGGTCACCTGCGCTCCCCCCGCTCACCTGCGCTTCCCCCGCTCACCTGCGGCCGCTGCTCCCGCGCCGGCTCCCGCCCAAACGGCTGCGCTGCGAGGCCGCGGGGGCCGCCCGTAACCATGGAGGGCGCGGCGCGGGCGGGCGCGGGGGGTGCTCGGGGCGCAGGGGAGCGGGGTGCGAGGGAGGGGAAGGGGAGCGGGACGCCCCCGGCGCCCCTCGGGGCTCTCCCGGCGCTCAGCGGCGCCGCCGCCGCCGCCCGCCCGCTGCCGCCGCCATCGCGCGGCTCCGCGCAGGGGGCGTGGCCGGGGCGTGGCCGGGGCGGGGAGTGACCGGTGGGTGTGGCCGAGGGGGCGGGGCTGGTGGGCGTGGCCACACGGGACCCGCGGCGGGGCGGTGCTGCCCCCTGGCGGCGCGGAGGCGGCTCTGCAACCCCCCCCACACCCCCCGCGTCCCGCTTCCCAAAGCTCCAATCGGGAATTCGTATCATGTTTTTGCTATATTATTAAAAATCCCAGAATCAGAAATTTTTAATATATTTGTATCATATTTTTGTGATATTATTTATAGTATTATGCTATATTATCATATTGTTTGCAATATATTATATTATCATATTAGTAGCATTATTATATTAGTTGCATTATTATAATAATAGAAATTACAACATACAATATTACTAGATAGTATACAGTATTAATATATAATACCTAATATTGTACAAGATATAAAATATTAATTATAATAATAATATAATATTTAATATTGGTTTATTATTTACATTATATTAACTATAATTAAACTAGTAATGACAATATACAACACTAACAGATCATATACAATATTCATATACCATATATAATATTATACATAATATAAAATATTAATTATATTAATAGATTGATTATCTTATATTATTATATTATTTTTATTATATTATTTATATTGTTATGATAATAGTAGTTATAATAGTAATTACCAAATACAATATTAACAGATAATATACAATATTCACATATATTGTATTTTATACACATAATATTATACATAATATAAATTATTAATGATAGCCATATCTTTCTTATTTTATATTCTTATATCGTTGATATTGCATTATTTAATTTACTATATTATTTACATTGCTTTGATAACAGTAATTATAATCATTACCAAATACAATATTAACAGATAATATACAGTATTCATACATAATATATAATATCACATATAATATTATGCATAATATTTATAATAATATAAAATATTAATGCTATTGATATATTTATTATTTTAGATTACTTTATTATTGATATTGCATTGTTTATTTTATTATAAGATTTATATTGTTATAATAATAGTAATTGTAATAGTAATTACCGAATACAATATTAATAGAATGTATACAATATTCATACTTCATATATAAAATTATATATGATATAAAATATTGATATTAATATATTTCTTATTCAATATTGTTATAGCATTTATTTCATTTTATTTATATCACTGTAATAATACTAATTATCATAGTAATTACAATATACAATACCAATAGATCTTATACAATATTCATATCTCATATGTAATAATAATATTAATATATTTATTGCTTTGTATTATTTATTATTTTTGTTATCAATAAGATGTTTTAGTAGGATATCACTTACCTTCCAGTACCTGAATGGGGACTGCAGGGAAGCTGGAGAGGGACTCTTTGTTAGGAGCTATAGTGATAGGACAAGGAGTAATGGGTACAGTTTGAAAAAGGGGGAATTTAGGTTGGATATTAGGAAGAAGTTTTTTACTCTGGTAAGACACCGGAACAGGCTGCCCAGAGAGGTTGTGGATGCTCCAACCCTGGAAGTGTTCAAAGCCAGGTTGGATAAGGCTTTGGGCAACCTGGTCTGATGGAAGGTGTGCCTGTCCATGACAAGGGGATGGAACTAGACGGTCTTTAAGGTACCTTCCAACCCTTAAAAATTCTACGATTCTAAGCACAAAAATTTACTAATTTACTGGGTGCAACTGACTGGCCTTTGTTTTTCATTAGCTGAGTTTTGATTGTCATAAAGTCTCTTCTTATTTAGGAATAACTAGAAATATATTCCTTTTTTTTTTTACAATTTAGAGTGAGGAAAGCTGGCTTTACTTAACTATAATCACAGACTGGTTTGGGTTGGAAGGGACCTCAAAGATCATCCAGTTCTATACCCTGCCATGGGCAGGGACACCTTCCACTAGCCCAGGTTGCTCCAAGCCCTGTCCAACCTGGCCTTGAGCACTTCCAGAGATGGGGCAGCCACAGCTTCTCTGGGCAATCTGTGCCAGGGTCTCATCACCCTCACAGGGAAGAATTTCTTTGTCTGTGTTGCACAGTTTATTGTTTAAAATCTAAATGGTATTGGTATGTAGCCTATGCAGAACTCCCTAAATTTGTTCATGGAGTATGACATATCTGCTTGCGAAAACAGTGAGCTGGGTTTCAGTGATCACAGATATTGGAGATATTTGACCTGTAGATTGTTCATCTTCAAGGCTTGAAAAGGAAGGAAGTATTTACAGAATCCCAGGATGGGTCAGGTTGGAAGGGCCCACAGTGGCTCATCTGGTCCCACCTCCCTGCTCAGGAAGGGCCGTCCCAGAGCACACGGCACAGGATTGTGTCCAGATGGTTCTGGAATATTGCCAGTGAAGAGACTCCACACCTTCTCTAGACAATCTGTTCCAGTGCTCTGCCACCCTCAACGTAAAGAAGTTCTTCCTTGTGTTGAGGTGAAACTTGTAGTGGTTTAGTTCATGGTCACTGCTCCTTGTCCTGTCGCTGGGCACCACCAAAAAGAGTCTGGCACCGTCCTCTGACACTCCTTGGAGATATTAGTATGGATTTATGAGACCCCCTCAGTCCTGTCCTCTTCCTTTCTCTTTCCCTTTCCTCTTCCCCTTTCCCTTCCCTTTCCCCTTTCCCTTCTCTTCCCTTCCCCTACCTTTTCCCCTTTCACTTTCCTTCCCCTTCTTTTTCCCTTCCCTTTTCCCCTTCCCCATTCCTCTTTGCTTCCCCTTTCCAATTCCCTTCTTTTCCCTTTTCCCTTTTCCCTTTTCCCTTCCCTTCCCTTCCTTTCCCTTCGCCTTTCCCTCTCCCTTTCCCTTTCCCTCTTCCTTTCCCTTTCCCTTTCCCTCTTCCTTTCCCTCTCCCTTTCCCTTTCCCTTTCCCTTTCCCTTTCCCTTTCCCTTTCCCTTTCCCTTTTCCCTCTCCCTTTCCCTTCCCCTGACTAACCAGGCCCAGCTCCCTCAGCCTCTGCTCCTAGGACAAACGCTCCATTCCCTCAATGCCTCCCAGCCCCGCTCCAGGATCTCCGCGTCCGCCTCCAGTCCTGAGGGGCCCGGAACTGGACACGCCCCGCTGTCAATCACGCCTGTCAATCACCGTGACGAGCGTACGCTCCGACCAATCAGCGACGGCCGCGACGCGCCGTGGGCGGGGCCGGAGTGGAGCCGGGCGGTGGCGGCGGCGGCGCAGGTGAGGGGGGGCCCTGAGGGGCCCTGAGGGGCCGTGAGGGGAGCGGGCGGTGCGCCGGGGCCGCTCCGACCCCCGCGGCCGCCACAGCCCCCGCAGAGACCCCCGGGGGGCCGTGCCAGGGGGATCTGTGAGCGGGGACCCTCCCGGGGCTTCCTCGGGGGGTGAAGGTCGCGCTGAGGGCGGGGGGGGCCCTGCCGTAAGCGGGCCGCTATTCCCTGTGGGAAGGAGCCTCCTACACCTTCCCCTTTGGCTTTTCCATCGCCTGTGGGGGATCCCAGCCGTGTCCTCTATCGTCTGTGGTGGCCCTGTCGCCTGTCGTGACCCTGTCGCCAGGCCGGCCCCCAGCCCGGCGGGGTAGATCCAGACAAACAGAGTGGGAATAAACACGGGCTGGGCGATGGCAGAAGGGAGCGAGGTTTGTGGAAGTGAAGCCGAGAACTGAACTTTAACCCGAGCGTTGTCTCTGTGCGTGTTTTCCGCACGGAATTTCCCCTGTCGGGAGGCTGTGTGCCCGTGCCAGGGATACGGGTGTCTGTGCCAGGGATACGGGTGTCTACGGAACAGCCTGAGCTCCTGGAGACAACCCGACCGTCACCAGCAGCCTCTGCTCACCTTAAGGTCTCTGTCTCTCTGTAGGTGCTGAGCCAGGATGGGTTTGGCCGAAGACAAAGTGTACAGCCACATTATGAGGAACCTCAGGCATTTCGGGACTATCCATGTGGGGTCGCTGGCTGATTCCCTGACCTGCCTGGTCGATTCTGACAGAGTAATTTCCTACTTCCCCGAGCCCTGCCATGCTCCTTCCCCAAAGGGAATGTACAGCTGCCTTGCCCCTAAGCTAGACCCTCTCTTAGATGCCCTGTGTGTTTTTCCTAGGATGAACTCCACGCCCGGGAGGAGATGCGGGGCACCCAGGCCACCGTCTTCAAGTTTTATCAGCTCCTGAGATGCCGGAAGGACTGGGTGCAGGATCTCATCCAAGCCCTGCGCCACAACAACGCAGGACACCTGGCCGATGAGGTGCAGGAGGTGTATGACACCTGGAAACTCCGTACGTAGCCTTGTCCTCCCTAGATGCTGCCCTGGGAAGCTGGTGGAGGTGGGGAGCCGAAACACATCACTGAGCAGCTGGTCTCTGTCCCTGCCTTGGTGTCTGAGGGGCTGGGGGTGTCTGACCATCCCTCACCATGGTGACATGTCTGAGGGTGATGAGGTCCTTCTTTGAAGGTGCCTGGGTTGGTGGTGGGCTGGGGTTCTCACCTGGAGGGAAGGTGGAGAGATGAGTGAAGGGGTACTGTGGGCTTGGCCATTGTGGGCACATGCAGGGCTGCCTCGGCCCCATGCTCATCCTCTGCTTCCTCAGCTTTTCCAGCAGTGTTCCTGCTCATGATCCCCTTGACTCCTCCAGGTCCCTCAACTCCTGCCGCTGACTCCTCCCTTCACAACAATGCCCGTCCCTCCGCCTCCTCCATCAGTGCCCAGACACCATCCCTGCGGCCGAATTCTGCTCCGAGAGCCCCGCTGGCTGAGCAGCCTCGCCGGGACCTGCCCGTTGGTGACCATCCACCCGTCCTGCCCAGTGCTGCCACCACCACGAGCACGGATCAGGAGGCCAGAATTCCGGTGCAGGAATCGGTGAGCGGGGCACATGTTGGATGGGGACGCAAAGGTCCCTTTTGGACCTTTTGGTGGGGTGTGGGGAGCCTGTGGTAGGGCCAGACTCGTTCAGGGCCACCCCAGGCAGACTCTCACTGCTGATCTCTGCTGCATCTGGTAACTTAGAGGTTATATATGGCCTTGTAACTGCTCCCCCTCCTGCCTTTCCTTTGTGGGGGGAGTGCAGGGTCTGCTTAATTAGTCCAGGCTCCCCTCTAGGCTCCCCTTCCCACCTCCCCTCCATGGGGGTGTGCAGGCTCCACTCCATTAGTCCAGGCTCCTCTCCACAGCCCCTGACCCTTGTGTGAGATGTGGTGGGTGTCAAGCAGATACCCCAGAACCCCTTCATCAGCAGCCTTGCGGGGGCCACTGCTCAGGGTTTGGGGCGCCCTGGTGATCCCAGACCCCTCTTACTCCAGTGATTTAACACAGCTCATTTCCTTCCAGCTCCCTAAAAAACTCCTGGAGCAAGAGAGTCTCCGGCCAACTCCACCTGGGAGCTCAGTCTGTGCTGGAGCGAGCGGAGAGGGACAGCTCTCCCACCCCGGTGATACCATGCAGGGGTCAGTGGGGACCCCCGGGGTGGCCAGTGAGTCTGTGCCATCAGCTGTGCCCCCGGAGCAGGGCCGGGACTGGCTGAGCCGCCGACCGGTGTGTGTGGACAACGGGTGTTTTGGGAATGCCAACCACCTGCACCGCAGGGCGCCGGGCCTGGCACTGGGCAGGGCTCTTCCAGCGAGGGAGCCCAGTGCCACTCACAGCCCCGAGCAGCCCCGCAACGAGCCCGAAGAGCACTCGGACGAATCTACAGAATTTCCCCCGAGGCCGGAGGGGGCCGCTCGTGGTGTGGGGCAGCAGTCCCCAAACTCACTACCAAAAAAGCAGCCTGTGCTGAGCTCTGGGCCTCCGAGCAGCTTCGTGGATGTACGCAGCCCCCTCCTCATACAGGAGCAGTTTGATGCAGAGGAGAAGCGGGTCCGGATGCTGCAAGAGCACGGAGGGGATGGAGGTGGGTTTCCTTCCTGGCGGAGCCACGTAGCCACTGGGAAGCAGGAGGTGCTGCTGAAAGCCCCTCATTGCAGGAAAGAAATTAGGATGCTGGAGTGTGTTCAGAGAAGGGAACGGAGCTGGGGAAGGAGCACAAGTCTGATGAGGATTGGCTGAGGGAGCTGGGGGGGCTCAGCCTGGAGAAAAGGAGGCTCAGGAGGGACCTTTTGGCTCTGCAACTCCCTGACAGGAGGGGGGAACCAGGTGGGGATCAGGCTTTGCTCGACAGAACAAGAGGAAATGGTCTCAAGTTGTGCCAGGGAGGTTTAGGTTGAATATTAGGGAAAATTTCTTGACAGAAGGGGTTATCAAGCATTGGGGCAAGCTGCCCAGGGTGGTGGTGCAGTCACTGTCCCTGGAGGGATTTAGAAGATGTGTAGATGTGGCACTTGGGGACATGGGTTAGTGGTGGCCTTGGCAGTGCTGGGTTAAGGGTTGGAACAGAATGGAACAGAACAGACTATTTGGTTGGAAATGAACCTACAGTGGTCATCTCACCCAACTGCATTTTAATTGTTTCTGTCAGTGGGGCAACTTTGGGGTGTGAAACTTCTCCCCCTCCCTTAGTCTGCAGAGATGTTTGTGTTCTGTGTCTGGGGGAATTTTAGCATCTCTTGCATCCCTTGCCTACATGGGCTTCATAGAATAGAATGAAGCTCTGCCCTCCCCTCCAGGGTCTCAGGAGAGAGAGATACCTATCCTTCCCAGCCTGTTCCCCTCCACCATATGGGATCAGCACTTCCTGGGTGGGAGGATGTGGAGCCTTAAAAACCTCTGTCTCCCTTGATACTCCCCAACCCTGCAGCCCACCCTGGGTGAGTTGCCTGTAGCTGCCAGGAGAGCTTGGATGCCATTGCAGATCCAGAGCACTGTGTCCTGCTCCCTGTGTGACCTCCTCAGCTTGGGGACTGTCCTGTCACAGTGTCCTTGAAGAACAGCAAAACTCGCCTTTTAGGCCTCCTGGTTAACACAATATGCTTTGTTTTCTCCCCAACAGACAGTTCCATAGGAACAACCACCCTGGTCGCTCCCCCTGTGCCCAGAGGCACTTCCCCGTCCTATGACACCTCTGTGAAATCTGTACCAGAGAAGAAACCGCCTGCTGGGAACAGAGCTGGCAGCACCTATTCCATGCCGACGGAGAAAGTAGGTGACCTTCCCTCTTGCCACATTCATTTCATCCAGATTCTTGTGAACTCCCCCTGGCTGGGAGATTTTCTACTGCAGTGTCACATTTTGAGCTGGTGGCGAGTTTATTCCGGGATTTTTTCCTCCCACTGTGTTCATGTTCCCATTCCAGCATTTTGCTGCATAAGAGAAGGAAGCCAAGCTCTGTTGGGCTTTGACTCCTTATTTCCCCTCCCTGACTTGCCAGTCAGTCTCCTGCCTTCCAGGTGCTGCTTTCCACCCCTCTCCTCACTGCCTGGCTCCCCTTCTTTCCTTCCAATATCTCCCCTGAATCCGAAAGGTTCCCTGGAGCCCCAGCACCTCCCTGCTCCACTCGCACTCCCAGCCCTGGGAGTTACCTGTGACCCAGCCTCGCTGTTGGTGGCAGGAGATGTGGGGACCGAGCGCTGAGCTGCGTTTGTCCTGTGATGTGTGTGCCCAAGACCAGGCCAATGGGAGATTCCCATGGCACCCACCCCCTCTCCTTGTCTCCCAAAGGTGTTCCCAGCCTCGGCAGCCCCTCTCCTAGGCCCAGCTGTGGTGGGAAGCTCCGAAGGCACGGCTGGGAGATCGGCCTCCAGGGTGAGCTCTGTCACGAATATCTGGGCTCCATCCTGCAGCAACACAGAGGAGAATGTGGAGCTCAGCAAGCCGGGCGTCCTCGTCTCCGTTGCTCCGGGGGACACAGAGGTGCCTGGCAGATGCCCGGGCTCTCAGGGGCCCAACAACCCCAATTCCGCCGCCTCCAACAGCCTCGGCCTCAGCAGCGACCCAATCCTAGTGAGCAGGGATAGCTCGGAAGGAGCGTTCTCCAGAGGCTCCTTGGCTCCAGCGGCTCGTGCAGACCCCAGGGGACAGGAGGCAGCTGGAGCAAGCAGAGACTCCCGTTCCACTCCGAGCTGGGACACCCATGAGGTCCGTGTGGATCATTACCCCAGCGTCCAGCTCGGAGCCGGCAATGACGGAGTCGGTCCGCTTGGAAGCCCTCCGGATTTCGACTCCAGCAGTGGCTGTGGCGCTGCCACCAGCCCGTCTCAGGCCAAGGTCCCCTCGGGGGACAGCAATGGCCCGTCCCTGCCGTACATCCTCCCAGCCGTGGGCATCGCTGTCATCTCCGCCGTGGCATTCCTGGTGTACGCTCGGCTCCAGAAGTAGCAGCCGGGATGTCACGCAGCCGGGACGATTCCTCTGGCAACAGGATTCTGGTCAATGCATTTGAAGCCTGAAGAGCAGTGGGCGAATGGTAGGGGTGTGGTTAAATCTCTTTCCGGAAGGTTCTGCTGGAAGAGGCCTTGGTACAGGATGCTGTTGCGTTTGGATCTGTTCCATCCAATTTCCCAACCATCTTCTTTTTACACCCATGGAGAGGGTCTCTCCAGGGCAATCCCTTGAGTCAGAAAAGTCCTTGTGGCGATTCTCCACGTCTTCCTTGTTTGGTCCCAGGAGGCCCCAGGGAAGCATGCACTGGTGATCCAAAGGGTGAACCCCTGGGTGCCTTTGGGCAGTGCAGCCAGGAGCGGTTTTGCAGATATCCTGTAACAGCAGAGCTGGTTTTCTTGGCTCTGCTCCTCTTGGCTTGAAAACATGCCCGAGGATTGGTGCAGGAGCCTTCACCAGGTGTCTCACGTTCAGTTTGCCTTACTTGGTATCTCTGGCTCTGCCAGGCACTTTTGAGGGGCTCTGCAGCTCCTTCTGGGATCCCTCCATGCCGCACTGACCCTGGGGATAAACATGAAGGTCAGGAGAGAGCCGCATCTAACCAGCGTTCCTGAGGATGGGCCTCCTTGCACCCCCTCCAGGCAGGGAATCGGGGTTCTGCTTTAATAGGAATGTTTTAGGCAATGCCTGCATTAAGCAGACTTGGTCCTACACAAGGTTGTAGGGTATCTTTGATCTTTAGGCTGGATTTTGGGAGCGTGGCTGGAAGGGTGGATGGAGTTCTCACCCTTCCTGATACCTGCTGCTGTGGTATAGGAATATAGGAAGCTTGTGCCCAGGCTGGGACACAAACAGGATCAATTGCACACTGCAGGGAGGCCACACAGGAGTCTGAGGTGCTCTGGGCCAGGGGAGACATTCTAGCACCTTCCAGTACCTTAAGGGGCTCCAAGAGAGCTGGAGAGGGACTTTGGGCAAGGGCCTGAAGGGACAGGACAAGGGAGAATGGCTTCCCACTGCCAGAGGGAAGGGTTAGATGGGATATTAGGGAGAAATTCTTGGTTTTGACGGTGGTGAGGCACTGGCTGGCACACGTTGCCCAGAGAAGCTGTGGCTGCCTCATCCCTGGAAGTGTTCATGGCCAGGTTGGATGGAGCTTGGAGCAACCTGGAGCAATGCTCCTAATTTAGGCTATTGCTTCTTCCCTGCTCTACTGTGTTACAGAACCACAGAATGGGTTGGAAGGGACCTTAAAGACCATCTCATTCCACCCCCCTGCCATGGGCAGGGACACCTTCCACTAGCCCAGGTTGCTCCAAGCCCCGTCCAACCTGGCCTTGGACACTTCAAGAGATGGGGCAGCCGCAGCCTCTCTGGTCAGCCTGTGCCAGTGCCTCACCACCTTCACAGGGAAGAATTTGTTCCCAATATCCTATCTAACCCTGCCCTCTGGCATTGGGAAGACATTCCCCCTTGGCCTGTCCCTCCATGCCTTGTCCCCAGTCTCTCTCCAGCTCTCCTGGAGCCCCTTCAGGCCCTAAAAGGGGCTCTCAGCTCTCCCTGGAGCCTTCTCTTCTCCAGGGGAACCCCCCCAGCTCTCCCAGCCTGGCTCCAGAGCAGAGGGGCTCCAGCCCTGGCAGCATCTCTGGGGCCTCCTCTGGACTCTCTCCAGCAGCTCCACGTCCTTGTGCTGTTCCCAGGGCTGCAGGCAGCTCTGCAGGGGGGTCTCACCTGAGCAGGCCAGAGGGACAGAATCCCCTCCCTCAAACCCATATGTCCAGTAACTTGTCCTGAATTCCTGCTGTCAGCTCAGCTTTCCAAAATCCATCCTTCCTGCTGGCGGGGAGCAGGAGGAAGGTCATCTCCCTGGAGCCTGGCTGCCAACTGCAGCCTTTTGTGCCCAGAACTGGGCCTGTGGTGGGAAAGGTCCATCCTGTGATGGAATGGCTGCTCCTCCCTCCTAACACTTTCCCTGTGCCCAAAAATCCAAGAAGTGCCTCTGTAAGCCACTAAGGACACTAAATGCATGCAGAGAGGTGTCGATTCTGGTGTGATGGGGCTGTTCTCCTGGGAGAACTCGAGATGTTCTTTCCTTGCTCAGTGCCCACCGCTGTACCCATGAGAGGAAGGAACAGTCCTTATAAACACTCCTGTCTGCCAGGAGTAGGAATATGGGAGCTGCTCTCCCTGTTTAAGACAACAGGGTTATCATTCCCTAAAAAGAGGGGACACCTGCCTTCTCCACACTTCAGGGTACATCCATGAGATCCCAACCAGCAGCATCCATACCAAGGCCATCTTCTCTGACGCTTTACTTGCCTGCAAAATTCTTCCCGTGTTTTTCCATATTTTATAGCAACAGCTTCTCTGCTTTGCCTTTTGATGTCAAATTTCTCCTGTGAAACAGCTGGTCTGTCACCACCTCGGACCAGGGAGAAGCACACATTCGGATTTCTGCTGTGAAGTGCCGGGATTTTCACAGTCATTACGTAGCACTTTAAAGCCCCACGGGGCAGGAGATGGAGCAGGAGGGAGCTGTGTCCCTGCACATCTTTTACTAACAGGACAAAAGGCCTTTTACTAACTGTAATAAATTGGTTTGATGCTTCACACCCGACTTCCTGTGAGTTTGTGAGATGAGGAGCAGGAGGGGATGCTCTGAAGGGCTCTGCTGGCAGTGACACAGAGAGACTGAGGACACTGGTGTCAGGAAGAGGTGACAGGATTTGGGACAGATTCCAGACCTCATTTTGGAGCAAGCATGAGTCCTGTTCCAGAGGATGCCCACCACAGCAAGTCCTCCTATTGGTGGTTGGATGCCCAGGACGAAGACAGGGAAGGTGGTTCCCAAGGCAGCTGAGCTGTGGAAGTCAGGGTACTTGGCCCTGGCTCACGCCTGTGTCCTTTTTGGGGACAAACAGGAAGCTTTTGGGACAGAACAGCCCTTTCCATGCCCTTTCCATGCTGCCTTTTCCACAGGAGGCTCCCGAGGGCTCTGCTGTGGTACTCCATGAACTCCCCTCGTTTTCCGAGCTTTCCTGCTTTCCCAGCTCCAGCTCTTACAGCCCAGGTATGCGAAACGTGTTCAAAATACTCAGAGCTTTGGGCAGTGGAGCTCAGCCAGTCTCTTTTCCACCCAAATGAAGCCAACGCTGTTCTGAAGGAGGTTATTTGTGTTCAGAGGGCTCATCCTTTGTGTCCTATCAGTGCCAACCCCATTTATCCCCTTCCTCCACTCACCCAAAAGGATATTAAACCACACCAACTAAATCTGACTGATCCTTTTGTTTCCATCCTGGCAATCAGAATTCAGAGAATTCTCAGGGAAATCACCCCACCTTTGTAGGAGGTCGGTGGCTGATCCCTCTGGTATCGAGTTAATGCCCGAGGATTGCAGTGAGCTGGGATTACCCTGGGGCAAGTGAGGAGCACTGCAGGTCGCTGGGCTGCAGTGCCAGGCTTGGCCACGCTCGGGGTGTGCCAGACAACAATTAACATTCCCCCTGGGAACCTCTGTCCTGTTACAACCGGGAGACTCTTTTCCTCTTGGATTTCCATCCTTTTTGGTTGTTGCTTACCCTCCTCTTCATGGTCACCTCAGTTTTTCTGCTGCCTGGGTGTTTCCTGCTGTGGTTGATAAATGTGAGGTCAGGATCTGAAGAGCGGGATGCACAGTATTGGAATTATGTTGGAATATAAAGAGGCACTGTGGATTGTGAGATAACAGGGAGAAACTCTTCCCTGTGAGGGTGGGGAGGCTCTGACACAGGTTGGGTAGAGAAGCTGTGGCTGCCCCTGGATCCCTGGAAGTGTCCAAGGCCAGGTTGGATGGGGTTTGGAGCAACCTGGGCTAGTGGAAGGTGTCTGTACCCATGGCAGGGGGTTGGAATGAGATTGTCTTTAAGGTCCCTTATTGCCCGTGGGGTTCAGGCCATGGTGAGTGTCAGACCCCCCGCATCTGTATTTGCCTCGTCATCTGCATATGCAAATCATATTCAAATCACCCCCTGCGCGCGGCCAAGCCCAGCCGGGCCTACTGCGGATCTTCCCCTCGCCCCCCCCGCGTTGCCATAGTTACCCGGCATGTCAATCACCGCACCTTCTCCCGCCCCGACCAGGCAGCGCCTTCGCTCATTGGACCGATGCCGTGCCAATCTCGTCCCAAAGGGATCCCATAGGCCAGCGCTGCCGCATATCGACCCGCCCCCGCTGGCGCACGCTTCCCATTGGACAGCCGCGCTTGTCACTATACGCGGCCGAGCGCGGGGCGCTCCGCAGTCGTCCCATTCCCGTCTCCCATTGGCGGAGCCGCCTGTCGCTCCGCGCGGCGGGGGGCGCGGATTGGCGGGCGCCTCACGGGGTGTCCCGCCCCGCGGGGCCGCGCGGCGCAGGCGCGCCGGGGGCGGTGGCTGCGGCGGCGGCGGAGCGGGAGCGGGAGCGAGGAAGGAGCGGGAGCGGGATCGGGGCCGGGCGGCCCATGGGGCCGGGCCGCGCTGCCCATGGAGCCGCCGCGCAGCTGCGGCGATGGCGCGGAGGAGGAGAAGAAGCCGCGGCGGCGGGGCGGCGGAGCGGACGCGGGGCCGCCTCAGCTGCGGCGGAGGAGCAGCGGCGGCGCGGACGGTGCGGCGGGGCCGCAGCCCCGCGAGCGCGGCGGGTCCGTGAGCCGGCAGCGGCGGGACTCGGTCCGCAAGAACCGCCCGCGTGAGTGAGGGCGGAATGAGGGGGGGGGGGGGCGGGGGGGGGCGAGGGGCGGGGCTTGGGGCTGGGTGGGCGGGGCTGTGGTAATGAGCGAGGGGCGGGGCTGCGGGGGACGGCAAGGGTGGGGATGGGGACACCGGGACAGCACGGGGGGCTGGTGGCAGGGACACGGCGTGGCCGGTGCGGGGACAACACAGTGGGGACACGGGGGGGGGGGGGGCTTGTCCAGCATGGCCAGGTTGGGGGGGGGGGGTGGGGACATGTTTTTTTTTTTTTTTTTTTTTTTTTTTTTTTTTTTTTTTTTTTTTTTGTCATCACCTCACCGTGTTCCTACGGTGAGGTGATGACTTATCTGCCATGGCCAGTTTGGGGACTCAGCGTGGTGGTGACATGGGCACAACATGACCAGTGTGGGGACAGCACGGTGGGGACACGGTAGGGTGTCAACTTGCCCAGCATGACCAGTTTGGGGACAGCACAGTGGGGTGGTGGCATGGGGACACCATGGCCCCTGTGGGGACAGTGCAGGGCACAACATAACCAACTGGGGACAGTACGGGGGGACACAGTAGTAGTGGGGTGATGACTTCGCCCCAGCATGGCCAGTTTGGGGACAGCACAGTGGGGTGGTGGCAGGGGCACGGCGTGGCCACCCTGGGACAGCACAGGGGGGACACAGTGGGACGGTGACATGGGCTCAGCAGGTTGGGGCAGAGGGTGGGTCAAGCTGAGCTCCAGGCGCTCTGGGAGCTTTAGGATGAGGCAGTGCCTGGCAAGGTGGGGCAGGACATGGGATGGGGCTGTAGCAGGTGCTGAGATGCCCAAATTGGATGGGAGGGAAGGTGACTGGTGACACAGAGGGCGAGGAGAAGGGCACAGAAGGACAGACAGAGGGGTGGGGTATGAGGGTGTGGGTCTGGACTGGTAACTGGGAAAGCAAATGGAGAGCATAGGGAATGGTGTCAGTTTTGGGAGGGAAGAGCCCCAAGGGGTTGGGCACAGACCAGCCGGGCTTTGTGAGGAGGTAAAATCCATCCCTAAATCCAGGTTTTTAAATGTCCTATTGGAAACTGCAAAATGGATGGCAGCCTTCATTTTGGGAGCAGCAGGAGCTGCCGTGCAGGTGCCGTGGCTGTCACTGCCTTCAGCCATGTTTGAGGAGGAACTGAGCGATTATTCCTTGACTTTCGCTGGAGTCCTTCCCTCCTCCTGGAAGGGAATTGCCATTCCCTGAAAATGAAACAGCGTCGGTGTAATTCCTCAGTACCTGCACTGCTATTAAGGGGATGTGAGCAATG